AACTTGATGGAAGACATTAAGAAAAAACTGATTAAAAGAAAAGGGCTATCGTGAAATGCTAAAAAGATTTCAACCCCAAAATTTTTTGCTCTTAATCATCCAAGATGATGCACTTGTACCCTTTTCTTTTTTACTAAATAGTTTTCATCACTGTCTTTGATGACACCGTAGATTAGTATATAAATACTGACTCATCACTTACGTTTAAGTAACTCTTTTTAGCACCTTTCTTTAGTGAAGAAATATCATAATAAATTGCAACATATAATTATCAAAATGCCCATTATAACTTCTCTTTGGTGAAGGATAGTTTCAATTATAGCATCTAGCTTATACTTAATAAATCACAGTTTGTGAAAAAAAGATATGATTCATACAAGATACGAAAGAATCACATCTTGTATAGTGGAAGGACATTAAGCTTATAAGATTTAGGACGAATGTTTGTTTTCAATAGCTTGTTGATGTTGCTAAAAACCAAGTCATGACATAGAAAGGATAAAGTTCCACCAGATACATTCACTGGAATAAGAACCAGGAGTGTTGTAATGGTTATCCGTCGAAATATTTTTAAATTGTCAGAACAGAAAAAAGAAAATAGCTAAGTTAACCAAAAAGAGAGAATTCTGAGATTCTAATATGAAATCTTGCATTACATAATTCTAAGATTTAAAATTTTCAACTACCCATAGCCCACAAAAAAAATAAATAAATAAATAAAAAGAACCACCAAAACCAACATTTTGGTTCTCTCAATGTTTCTTTACACACACAAACCTAAAATTGTGGCACGGCCTCTTGGGCCCAAACTCAATATGATTTTCAAAGTCACTAAATTGATTTAATTTCTTAAAAAAGGGAACTATTGGTGCATCCTATCAAGAATCAAGACATTTAAGCACCTTCAATGTCCTTGCTGAAATTTTTGTAAGATGGAATGTGTAGAGGGAATGTCCAAATTATGAGTTATGACGTAAAGCGTAAATAATTTAACAATAAGAAAGCACTTTGAATTGTTTTACTAGCTAAGACAGAATATTGAAATAGCCAAATAGGTGTAAATTCCAATTTAAAATTTGAAAATAGTAGATGGTAAGAGACATGGTTCAATGTGTGTAACCATGAAATGTGAAGATTTGATCAAAATAAAAGAAACATAACAAACATATGAAAAAACGTAATCTTGGTATGAATAGCTAAATCAAATACATGTGTACAAGAATGATATTAAACATACTGAATAAAGCAGAACAGAGCAAACCTAGAAACAAAATCTATAAATATCTAATAGAACTAAATATACCCTCATTGTAGAGCATCCCACATAAATGAGCATTACTCGTCGCGTCTATGACTCCCATTACGCGAGCTTGCAATCATGACCATCACAATAATTATTCCATGAACTCATGATTCTACCCACCTTGGGGCACCATCCTTTTCCTCCTCATTCGGCGTGCAATCTTCCCAAACAAGTTGAAGCAAAGATAATCAATGATGCACTAGACATTTGTTAGATGCTCAAAGAATATTGATGTCTATGTGTTAGTAGTAGTTTTAAGCAGAAGAGAAGATAACACTAAAATTTATTTAAATCAAAAATCATGTAACTGTATGACTTTGAAGAGCTTCATAGAGCAAGTTTGAATTGCACCAACTCTAATCAATAAATAATGAGGCAAAAATACTTCTGATGTTCAGATGCAAGTCAAGTGCAAACCACATAACAAGGTCACTTACTAATGGAAGTAGGCAAGTGTAACATCAGTAATTGTCTATAATAAAGAATATTTATTTTGCTATCCAACCCTATTTGCCATAATAGAAAATTATAAAGAATTGAACTATCAAGCTGAAGGCAACTAAATATGTGGAAAACTTCAGTAATATTGAAAATTATAAAGAATTAAACAATTAAGCTAAAGTCAACTAAATCTATGGAAAACTTCAGTTATAAACCAACAACTATATTTTCTGCCGCTACATTCCTTCATGATTTTAACATCAACATGTAAGCTCACAATTAGTGGGGAACAATATAATCCTAATTATTTAGTAGCCTCAGCTTGAACCCTTGTATGCTTGTCTTCTTCGAACAGCAAAATATACAATTTTGTGGGAACAAAAGCCCACAAAACTATAGAAAACATATACATTTATGACATCAATTTCATAAATGTAATACCTTCAACAGTAGCACTCATATCTTTCCCCACATTGGCATGCATTTCTTGCCCCTACTTCTTCCTCAGTCTCTTGCAATCTTATCTTCATACTGTCTGGTTCCTATAATTCAAACACTAGTGAAACTGTAAATATACTTGCTTACAAACGTACAAATGTACATGTGTATATAGGGGGCGGAGCCAGGAAATATATTAGGCTGGGCTGAATTTTTTTTTCAATGAACTTGTACACTAAAAGATGTTCTAAACCACATGATAAAACAAAAATTTGACCCAAAATCGGGCAAAATCATGCATAGCTAACTCAT